TGCTTGCCAGCCTGATCACCCCCTAACTGCTCCCCTGCCGGCCTGATCACCCCTAACTGCCCCCCTGCTGGCTTGATCACCCCTAACCTCCTCTGCCTCGGCCCCCGCCACCGTGGCTTTGTCCAGATGTCCAGCCTAATTAGCAAATTACCCTTTTATTAGTATAGAGTAACAAATGTTAGCTGAACTTGTGGTGCTTGTGAATAAAATTTTTGATGCCCTGTGGGAACCTGATTTTATATTTTAACTAGTGGCCTGGTGCACAGATCTGTGCACATTGAAAGGAAATTAATTAGAAGAAATATTTTAATATCGCTATTCACACTTTCTCTATAATAGAAGTGTCAACCAAATTCATGATTGACAATGAGAGATCGAAACACATGTATGTGAATGGTGCCAGCAAGAGCTTTATATGTATCATGCATGTACAAGTCAACTTAGCCTTTTATATATAGAGAATAAAATTGCTTAATTAGACCTGCTTTCTGATTTAGCTAAACTTTTTCCAGCCCAGTGAAGCACCCCAACTTCTCTTTCAGGTAATTGTCAGTGGCACAGCAGTAAATATCAACATGAAGCAGATTATTATTGTTGATCATGCAGGGAGAACAAAGAGTAAAATATTTAACTGCAGCAGTGTTTGACTATATTCTGCGCAGTGAGAAAACCTGAAGTCATTTTCAAGGTCCACCATTTCTTCTTTTCAGTCAGGTCAAGTTTCTAAGCTTTCTAAATCTCCGTTTTCTGGCTAATGAAAAGAAAATAGGATTCCACTGAGTCTTCTGTCTACCTACTCCAGGACTTCTGTGAGGATCAAATGAGATGAGGCACGGGAAAATGCTTCACAGACATTTGGTTAAAGTGTAAAATGTTTGCACCTGGCTATAAAGCAAGTGATGTTCCTGGGCTGCAGAAACTCCAAGGAGGCTAGTTGCTAGGCAGAGGAAGCCAGGCATTGCTACGTGACATCATTACCCGGTGCCCACAGCAACTATTTCTGGGCTGTGGTCTGCATTTTGTGCCATGGGGTCTCAGCAGCATCAGCTGCGATTTGGTGGGCTGTTGCTCTGGGGTGGTGGTGGGGCCTGTGTCCCACTTGGGGGAAGCTGGGTGTTGCTTTGTGGGTGCCAGGTCCGAGGTGCTGTTTGTCAGTAAATGGCCAGTGTGCATCACGGCAGCTCCTGTTTTGAGCGTCTGCCCCCTGGTGGTCAGTGCATGTCATAGCACCCGGTCGGACTTTCGGACACTTAGCATATTAGCCATATATATATTAGTAGTCCGGTGCATGAAATTCGTGCACATTAAAAGGGAATTAATTGCCCTAACCAGTTTGGCTCAGTGGATAGAGCATTGGCCTGTGGACTCAAGGGTCCCAGGTTTGATTCCAGTCAAGGGCATGTACCTTGGTTGTGGGCATATCCCCAATGGGGAGTGTGCAGGAGGCAGCTGATTGATGTTTCTCTCTCATCGATGTTTCTGACTGACTATCCCTCTCCCTTCCGCTCTGTGAAAAAATCAAAATATATTTTAAAAAAGGGAATTAATTAGTGGAGATATTTTAATATTGCTATTTGCCCTTTCTTTATAATAGAAGTGTGAGAGATGAAAGGAAATTAGTAAAATGTATATGAAAATAATAAATAAATTTATTAATAAATAAACAGTAACAAAAGGATATACAACAACAGGCATGATATAAAAATGACAAAAACATGATATGAAAACCACAAAAACATGATATAAAAACAACAGTGATGCAAACAATGACTGATAAAGTGATTAAACTTATTCCAATATCTCCCTGTACACCACATTAAGAGTGAAAACACTTTCAGAGTGCTTGACTAATTTCCCTTGTGATGAAGTACTTAGAACTTTAACTGTAACATCACATGCTCTTCAAGCTTGAGAGAAAGCAACCTATAACTGACCATGTGCAAAAATGGATTCAGGTAGGAATATGCCTACTTTGTCTAGAGGTTGTCCTTGTGATTTATTGGTAGTCATCACAAATGCTAGCATCATGGGAAACTGTCCTTGAATCAATTTAAATGGGAGGCCAGTGTCAGATGGGGACAAATTAATTCTTGGAATCAGAACAACCTCTCCTTCTGCAGATCCTGTTAATACTTCAGCATCGATAATATTAGGTCGTAATCTTTTGATAATAAATCTGGTACCATTACAAAGACCCCATTTACTATTGAGATTTCTCAATAGCATGATGATTGCACCCACTTTCAATTTTAATTTATGACATGGCATTCCCGAAGGAGTAATATTATTAAGAAATTCGATGGGAAAATTTTCCTTTTCAGCATCATCTGTGGAATCAATGGAATCATCACTCAAATATGTGTGAAAATCTCCATCGAGTATATCCAAATTTTCTTCATTTAATTTTTGAACATGCTCATTTTTTGGACAAAGAATTGCATGTTTAGATATATTTTTAATATTATCTATAGCAGTGGTTCTCAACCTTGGCTGCACATCAGAATCATCTGGGAATCTTTTTAAAATCCTGATTCCTGGGCCCCATCCTCCGGAAATTGTTTCTTTGTTATGGGGTGGGGCCACACATTAGTAACAAAGAAACAGAATTAAAACTATTGTGGGGAGCCGCTACAATGTTTTGGACAGGTTCAAGCCTTGGACTGATGAGAGGGCACCGTCCTCTCATTGCCATGTGCCAGTCCCAGGTTAGAGGGCAGGGCCCTCCCAGCACAATTACAGCTAACAGCTGTAGCTGTAAGCTTGAACCTATGGTCCAAACATGTGGCCCCACGTGCCTGAGTAATGTAGGCTTGATAAAATTCAGGTGCATGTAGTTGAGTAGGATTGAAACCCAGGAGAATGTTGTAAACATCTTGGTCACGCCCTTACTTTGCCTCGTAGCATCTGCTATAAAATAAAAGCATGGCTGTGGGTGTGGTCGCTGTCTCCCAAAGAAGCAACGTCCCACTGAGACCCAGCTTTCATTCTCTTGTCTGTCTTTTCTAAGCCTTTCAGCTGCCTCCACTCAGGTTCACCCTTGGCTGTGCTGATGTGGCACACTTTATAAAGATATGCCTCCACGCTCCCAGGGCGGGTTCGTGCCTCAAACCCCACCCTTTCAGGAAAAAGCTCTGGGAAACAGCTCGGGGGAGAGCGCAGCCGTTTCCACGACAACCCCTGCAGGACTGACTTCCTTCCGCTTGGTGGTGGTTCTGGTCGTGATGAACACCACCCAGGGTTTTTATATATGTGTGTGTATATATATATATATATATATATATATATATATATATATATATATATATATTTCTAGATCAAGAAGTTCTCCCTTTTACCATGTTGAAATTCCTATTGCTGAAATAAAAGCTGATTTAAAAAAAAATCAAATTGAATAGCTAGAAAGACAGCTGGTCACTATCCTTAATACATTACTTGTTCCTTTATCAGTGGAATACATTTTCTATCACCATCTCAGCTATCTTATTTTTCTTCTAATTTTAACTTTTGGTCATCCTTCCACTCAGTGAATCTTTAAGGGATAAAGATATTGATAGTTTGTTTAGGACTTGAATTGGCCTTGAGAATCCCAAGGAAGTCTTTACTGCCGACATCAGTCTTACCCTGTGGGAAACATATACAGGGTTGGGCAAAGGTAGCCTTACAGTTGTGAGTCTGAGAAACAGTCAATAAAGCTGCTCAGTAATCATAACCTGCATGTCTTTTTTTCCATAGAAACAACTATAAACCTACTTTTGCCCATTCCTGTACTAACGAGTGCTAGCCAGCATTTTCTGAGGCTCCCTTTCTCCAAGAGGCTGCTCAGGAAATATGGCCACTCCTAATTAAAATACGTTTAGCTTTTCAGCTTACCCTGGTGCTCTCTTAGCAGGAATGAAAGGGGTTTCATAAGGAGATTGGAAGTCTCTTCTTCCACACGCACAAAAATTGGCAATCTTTGTCCCCTTTGACAGCTGGTGGCATCTTTCTGAAAAGCTTTCAAATCATAGATCATTTCTTCATAATGAAACTGTGTGGCTCAAATACAGAGGGTTGAAATTCTTATCTTATGCTGCAGTAAAATGCTCTAATTTAGATTCACAAAAGGATTCCGTACTCTTTACTTTGGAGAGCTGTGCAATTTGCCCATAAAAAGACTGTTCAGCACCATTAGTGCATACCATAAGTGTTCACTGACATCATATTCATTAAGCAGCACATCCTTATGCATAACCTTCTCAACCTCGAATGTGTTTTTTCCCTTTGAAGAATGACGAATGACAAAGGGGCGAGAGAGCCCCCAAGCAATACTGTTGCCTTTAAGGATGAACTTGGGAACTTTAGCTTGATCCCCTCACAGGAAAACAAAAATCAGGTTCAGTCCTTTCTTACCTAAGGCAAAGCCGTTTTTTGTTTGTTTGTTTCATGGCCAAGAGAGTGACCCCTGACTTCTGAGTATCAGAGACAGATCTTTGCACAATAGAAAAATTTCATGAGGGCAATGACCAGAAAATTCCTTAGATAACATTTACTAAGCACCTACCTATGTCTTTGAGCCTATGTTAGTCACTGAGGGTAGAGGTGATTATAAGAATATTAATACAACCCATAGTTTCTAACCTTTGGTACTAAGTATCATCTGTTTCCTAACTTGATCTGATAGGTTTGGGGGAGGAAAGGAGAGGCATGTGGTGAAAGGGAAAGAATATGGTAGGTAGTTCTGCTTTGTTTTGTTTTTAAGAGTGAAAGGGAAAAGGAAGAGTGAGGGAGAATTATATTGGGAACAATACTTGCTCTTGGCAGGGGCAGCGACTAACCCTAGCATCAATTCCATTGCTACTCTGTAGTGTTCCTGCACTCACAATGACCTCCAGTTATTCTCCCAGATCTTTAAGTGTGATAGGTAGGGCAGGCCCTTTCTAAATCTGCCCTCCTCCCACCATTTCCCCAGTTCATTCATACTTTTCTCAAACTTGTGAGATATCTTCTGGTTTCCATTGTAGGTACACCTGAGAGCCTGGCAGAAAAAGAACGGCAGCTCTCTACCATGATTACCCAGCTGATCAGTTTACGGGAGCAGCTCCTGGCAGCGCATGATGAGCAGAAAAAACTGGCAGCCTCACAAATTGAGAAACAACGGCAACAAATGGACCTTGCTCGCCAACAGCAAGAACAGGTGAGCCCTGCAAAGGGAGCTGACGAACTGGAGATGTGGAATGTGCCAAGCTCAGCGAGTAATCACATTGATTGGTTTATTTGTCAGAAGGGTGCCTGAAAAAAGAAGGAAAGAAAGAAGCCTGTTGGAAATCAGGTTCTTTGAGAATACTGAGGGGGATATGTAGAGGACAAAGAAAGGCATCATAGCAACTGGGCATTACTGAAATGATAACGTCTTCCAGAACATTTGCATGGGATCAATTACTCAGGGAAGCTGATTCACATAGGCAGGCAGCACATAGGCTCCCAGTGTAGCTTAACCATGAGTTTGTCACTTCTCTCTAGGCCTTACTCTTTTCATCCAGAAAAACAGGCTTCTGGTTTAGGAAAACTTTGAGGACCTTCTAGCCCACGGATCCATTGATTTTTCTCTGACTTTAAAACTAGGGTCACACATCTGTTTTCCTGGAATAGCCCTGGTTAATGCCTGTTTTCCAAAATAAGTATTAATAATCCCCCTTCCACTTGCAAAAGTTGTCCTGGTTTGGATGCTAAATTATATGGTCACTCTATTTATAGCACAGGTAAATCATTAAAAAATAATTAGCACATGGCTCCTATAAGAATTTTATTTCATTGATTTAGAAGTGAGAAAGAAGAAAAAATAGCAAAGTTTAAATGTATATGTTTTTAAATAAATCGCTCTCCCAAATGTTTTTCCTGTCTCATAAGAGTACATTAATCTAACACAGTGATTCTATAGAGTAGTCCCTGGTGCTTTAGATCAGACAGACCCAAATTAATGTGCAGTTTTTAGGAATCTGACATTATTACTGGAATTATCTTTTCAGTTAAATGTATTTTATAGGGGTATATAGAGCAATATATGCTCTGTTGATTTTAATGAGTTGTGACGTCTGGTATTTTATATGCTTGAATATTTGCCCACGTGTAGGAATATGGACTCAGCCCCTAATGGAAAATAACATAAAGGAACACTGTAAAAAATCAGAAGTTAGAATGTCATTTAGCCATCCAGAGATGACACAGTAATTAACTATTGACACTTGTGAATAAGCTAGCACAAATTAATCTTGACACATTTGCAGACGAGTGATATCTTACAGTGAACACTTTGTAATTATATTTCAAAATGAAAATTAAATGACACTTAAAACTAGGTTGTCATGCTCAATGAAGCGAGCATGTAGCTCAACCGATTGGCAAATAAAATTCAGAATTTGAGCCACATGGTGCTTATGTACCATACTTCACTGTGTCAAACCCACACGTCTAAAGTGGATGATAGTAATTGCACTGTGGTGTTCTAGAGGCATTTCTGTGCAGCACTTTATCATTTAGGAGGGACCATCAATATTAGATGCCTAGTGGTGTTTCACTGGTTTGCTAAGAGGAAATAAATATTCAGAGGATCCAGCATCTAAACCTAGAGTCACAGAGTGAGTTGTCCATTTCCTTTTTTAAAAACAATTTTTTAATTTAAATCATTTTTATTTTTAAATTACAGTTGACATACAATATTATATTAGTTTCAGGTGTACACCCCAGTGATTAGACATTATATAACTTACTAAGTTATCATCCCAATAATTCTCATACCCATCTGACACCATGCATAGTTATTAGAAAATTATTGACTATATTCTCCATGCTGTACTTTACATCTGCAGTATATTCTGTAACAACCAATTTATACTTCTTAATCCCTTCACCTTTTTCCCCCATCCCCCCAAAAACCACTATGTCCTTTTCTGATTTGAATGGTGACAAGTAAAGTGGGCCTTTTTAATCTGATTAAATGTCATTTCCAGTTTGCTTATAAAGCTTTGGGAAGGAATGGTCCCATGTCTCAAACTGTTAGGGACAGTTTTGTCATGACTTCCAGAATGAGCTAGTCATTACCAGAAACCTTAAAGCAACATTTGGTAGCAGACTGCTATTTTGTCATCTTCTGTTGAATGAAAATCTGATTTGGGTGTTTCCCTCCACTCTAGGCTAAAGCATCAAAAAGACTCAAAGCATAAACCTGGGGGTCGATACACACTTGTTTTCACTTCCCACATTGCCCATTCTAGAATACTGGCTTCTGGAAATAGAAAAAAAATAGGAAAAAAACAAAAAACAAAACAAAAAAAACCCCCATACCTATAACTCTTGCCTAAAGGGCACCACTAAAAGTTTTCCTAAGTCCTCCCTGGCCACTTTCTCTCTGGCTTTCTAGGTTGGAGTGTATTCTAAGGGGCATCCCCCTCAGCTCAGCTTTGAAGGCAATAAGCAGACTGATGCCTTCATGTTTTATAGTAAACGCCACTATCTTAAAGAAGTTGTTTGCTCTCCTGAGGGGCAGATTCAGTCTTCACTGAGGCTTGCATGAAGACGTTAATATTTCTTTTCCTAGACCAGATGATGTGTTAGGACTTTGAATTTGATTGTTGGGTGAAGCAAGAGACTGTAACACATTACCCTCAGAAGAATAACTAGATAAATATTAAATTTTGTGTTTAAAATGCTTTGTACATCACATCATTGATGTACATTTGTAAATCAACAAAAAGAAATCTTTGTAATGATTTTTGACATTTTGCTGTGTTTTCTTGATATTCCCTTGGCGATTTGTCTTATCAGTACTGAGAGTCCTTATATCAGAAAAGGTTTCACCAAAGTCAATTGTATTTTAATTAATAAAAAGTTCTTTCCTGTCTCTGCATTCAGATTTTACCTTTTTAGTCCAAATTAAGCTCTTTAGAAACACGTAGCCATAGTTTTTCCGTATTTACTCTTCAAGGTCAGATTTTGAAACTCCCATTCTTTCCAGGTAATGGGTGCAGATAGAGGAGGTCCTCACTAATGTATGAGGGGTAGTTCTCAACTGCAGGTGAAGAGTTAGGGGTACACAGAGAAGTGGCATCTGTTTGAAATTTTCCTTTTCTCCAAATTTCTGGTTCTGCCTCTCTCACTTTATAGGAACTCTTTCACATAGAAGTGCAGTAAAGCATTCTTGTAATACCAGGAGAGTTACCTGAGGTAATGGCAAAGGTGTAAGCATTTCATTTCAACTTAATGTAACTTTATTTCTGATAGATTGCAAGACAACAGCAGCAACTTCTGCAACAGCAGCACAAAATTAATCTCCTGCAGCAACAGATCCAGGTCAGTGTATTTTATTACTCTCGTCTGATTATATACTCACAAACTTTCCTCCTTGAAAATGCAATTTAAAATGCTGCAAATGCACCCCTCCCTTATAAACAGCACTGATGTAGTTACTATCAAGGATGTTGTGTACCATGGTATAAGTGGATGCAGGAAATATCAACTAAATGGTGGTCTAAAGCATTCTTTTCTGACGTGATGCATATGCAGGAAAAAAACCTTATCTCTTTTCTTTCTGCCATTTGCCTGACAGAACCTAGTGGAAACCTAGTGGTTTCCAAGGTAGCATACACATGCTATTTTGATTGCCACAAACCAATTTCTCTTTGTATTTCACCATCTGACAGTATCATGGGGAGAAGCCTGTGCTTGTTTACTTGTTAGGATTCTCTGATTGGGCCAGTTAGGAGAAGAATCTTATGACCTGGGAAAAGATTGATAATAATTGATTAGTTCTTTAACAGATATCAGTTGCATTTCTGTTAGATGATGCTGAGGGGAATATAAAGATGAATGAATAATTGTCTGTCTTTAGGAGCTTATAGTATAGAAAGGAAGAATAACTTGTTTCTGAATCATTGTAACACAATTTAGAAATTCTCTTTTTTGTTGTGGCAGGGTAACACTGTCTATAGATCATGATGACAATGGCATGGCAAGGAATTTTGATTCTGTTTTTCCTTTAGACACTTGATGGTGAATTCAACTCACAGCTATTTGAGATAGGTAAGGGATTGGTCTCCATTTCTGAATAGGAACATAGGTATGGTTGTCTGGGGATTAATACTCAGGAATACCGATGCCAGAGTTATATGTACCCACCGTAGCCTCTGTGGTTTCTGTTGGCTGCTGTGGCTGTTTTCTAACCACCAGGATCTGCGATTCAGCCTAGTTGGGGAAGTATATTCTGAATTACATGATTCCTTTCCTTGAGATTAATATTATTACACCTTCCTGTATTCTTAAGAAAACATTCACATAATATCCTAGCTTACTCTAATCTTCTTTACTGATGAAAGCTAGTGATTTTAACGTAGATTCTGCTTCATTTTTGTTAATCATACTTAGTGTCTCAGGTAGCACTCACTGCATTTAAAATAATGATTAAGTGCCTGAAGAAGTACCTGTACCTGATTTGGCTATCTTCATGAGGAGGTTTTAACCAGTGGTTTGTTGTGATTATGGTTGTTTTAAAATTAGTTCTGATTCTATATTCCATACCCAAGTCTATATGTTTCAAAGTAAAGGGTCCAAATGCAGAGGAAATGGAATGTCTCTGGCATTTTTGTCAGCCAACCTTTACAATTAAATCTTGGAATAATTTCTCATCCCAATATCTCTTCTATAACTCATGCTGAGATACTTAATTAAATAACTGTCCAGGTGTTCCCTTGTTCTGTTCTTATTAGAATTTTCAGTGTGTCTCCTATTACTAAGGTCAAGATTTTTAGCCTGTGGCTTCCTACATTTTTTCTAGATCCTTCTCTAAGAACTCAGTGGGTGTTAAATAACCTGATCATTTAATTCTCTCTGTTTCTCATATTTGTAAAGTAGGAATGGAAGACATTCCCCATGTTCCCATATCAGTTACTTATTATTAATGTTTTACTACTTTATTATTTACTTCTTTATTGATTTTGAATATATTTCACTTATTCAATGTTGTTTGTATTAAGTGACCATTTTAATTGTGGTACTGAGGCTCTCAGATGAATAGCAACCAGTTCTGAGTATTTTTATGAAATATTATTGCTGTTTATTGATTACATGTGATTTTATAGTCACAGCTTGACTATATGAAATTGATGTGTTTTTTAGGAAACTCGAACTTGATCTTAAAATATTACTCATCAGAATATTCAATGTGAAAATACAGGAAAATAGTTGGTCCAGATTTTCTAATAGAAGTTTAATTGCTTTTTATATTTGTGGTTATTTCTCATTGTTTAAATTTATAAAAATTGAAGCTGATCAGCACTTGATCTCAGGACTTTAAGTTATAAAATCATAGAGAGATTTAAAGTGTCAGTTATATTCATTTTAGAAATGTAGGATTCTTTGTAACCAGAATTCACATTGTAAAAAATAAGAGGAAGCAATAACCTGTATTTACAGTTCTCTGTTCTGAGCTACTCTTCACTGCATAGCATGTCAGTATTTATCTTATCAGTATAAGACCATTTACAGAATTTTTCAAATGCTGAAAAATAGTTGTTACACAAGTATTTGTCTCTGACACTTAAAAAGAAGTGTTTGATATTACGACTTTTAGTTATTTTTTGAAAGGGAATGGGTTAACTGTATTTTCAAAAATGGCTTTTGACAAGCCATAGACATGATCAAATTTAAGAGAGAGATTATTGTTGAGCTAATTTTTAATATATATGTTTTTGAGCAAAATATGAGACTTATGAGATGTTTGGAACATTTTTTTTCTGTCATGAAAGAAACATTCTCCCTTTTGAAATCAAAACATAACAGAGTAAAATAAGATAATAAATGCAAAACCCTAACTTCTCTTCTGAAAGTAAATGAATACGGAGACCATTTGCGCAAGTTTGACATTTTATCTTTTCTTAAAAATCTTGAGTCCTAGAACCTATTAGCTAATATGGTCAGCAAGATTGAGCCTTGGCAATTGGCTATGAATCATGAATGTCAGGTGGTTATAGTCAAGATTATTTTTCACATCTAGCTCAGAATACTGACTTCTGAATTAGTTTTGTTGTTTTGGAATTTATAACCTGTAATAGAAAGAAAGAAAAGAGTGTCTAACCTTTGGTAATAATACATCTGGGCCTATTATAATGGAAACAAATGAAAACCTTAATGGTTTGCACAAATTTAAAAGCAGGATTTTTCATTAGAAATAGGAAAAGGCACGAGGTAGTATTGTAATGCTGTTTCACAGGCTTATTTTGTTTGCACTAATTCAAAAGTTATATATGCAGTTAAATAATTTCATTTATATAATTTCTTCCTTGAATATCATTTTTAACATAATTTGCCTTGGTAAAACCTAACTGAAATTTTAAAGGCATACTTTTAAGACCATGTAGACCTTGTTGAAAAAAGTAAGATGAATGATTTTGTGAACTAATGTTTTTATTTTTTTGATGAGTCAGTTTTTACCATTTAAAAAATCAGGTTAATAACTAAACAATTATTAAAATGCTTTAATATTAACAGATCTTTTAGGAGGCTGTTTGCTTAGAAAATTCAAATCCCTCTGTTTGTGCTTGGGGGAAATGGTGATTCCTCTAATTTGTTACAGATTAAGTAATTCCTGCCATGTGAGCCCAGAAAAAGTTAGATGTTTTTGATATTTCTAGAACAAATATAGCACAATTTTTATCAACTCCATGAAAAGCAAAACTAATAAATCATGGAATATGGATCCTTGGAGTTGGGAATGTTGAGTCTCATGCTATAATTCCAAAGGACAGATAACTGCCTCAGTAATTTCATCCCCCGTCTCTCACCCATTGCACTATATGCTACTTAGCTAGTCTCTTGAAGAATTTTATTTATGAGTTATGTTGATTACAAAACAAAATTTATTTTTAATTCATTGGACATATGAAACACAGTACTTTAATCAACTATTATAGATACAGGGTGGGCAAAAGTAGATTTACAGCTGTAATACAAATTAATACAATCTTACCTAATAATAGACAAACATGTAAATTAACTGTCCCTCCACTATGCTCTCCAGCCAATCAGGAGAGTATGCAAATTAACCCAACAAAGATGACGGTTAATTTGCATATGTAGGGGTGAAGAGGCAGAGCAAAGACTGAAGGCTCTGTCCATCTGGAGCCGAGAAGACTGAAGGGTTCATCCGTCCGGAGCTGTGAAGACTGAAGGCTCCGGCCAGAGCGAAGGCCTGGGTCCCGGGTGCCAGAGGAAAGCCGCTGCTGGCAGCCAGGGGAAGGGAAGGCCTATTGCATGAATCTCTTCGTGCAAAGGGCCTCTAGTAGGTAATAAATAATAATATAAAAATAAACTGTTTCAGGTGTTTACAACTGAAAACCTACTGTTGTCCACCCCTATAAGTCTAGTCTAAGCAAACAGAAAATATTTTATAGATCCTGATTTTTTGCTCCATCAATATAGTTATTCATTTACCATCATTTAACCATGTCATGGTATTTGAATCCAGAGAAGATACTCTTTGTGGACATAACACACCACATTCTTTGGTTTTGATAGCATGTCAGTAGGAACACATTTAATGATGGCATTTTACTGCTAGAACCTAATCTTTGCAAGAAAATTCAGCTCATTAAAATATCTTTGTGAGAAACTTACTTCTGCAGGCATGAATGGTGTTATCTAATTAGCCATGTCTGTTCAGACCCTAATTTTAGTGTTATTCAAGTGGCTTATGTTGTGTGCTATACAGGGAGTGTCCTTTCTTCATATCACTGACCGAACAACAATGGTCCCTTAAGAATGGACTGGCTCATTGGGATTTTATTTGGCTTGCTGGGTCAGAGCCAATGATTTAGTCAACTCACACACATCCAGCATCTGAGGTGTAATTGTGAAACTTGAAATGCTTAGCTCTTTGTTAATCTTTATGGTTAATATACAATTTGAACTGGCCTCCCCTCATATTTTAATACATTCTTTAGTTGGTGAACTCAGTCGGTGGAAGGACTAAACTAAATGCCATTGTTCCTGCTTTGCAGATATACATGGTCTTGTCCAAAACATTCTCTTTTAAAAGCTGTGGTATATGCTGCTTCTGTCCAAAACCAATTCTTTGTTCAATGATGCCTCTTTCTTCTTATGGGTATTTGAGTAATATTCATACATAGTGTTTTCTATTTTGGTTATAATCCTATGTGCTATTTGTATATGCTATCTCTGTGTGTTTGTCACGTGGCAGAACACCATTAAATGTGTGTTATTCTTTTTTCTGATTAATCTGGAGATGTTAATATTATAAGCTAGGAGGTGATTGTTCTTAAACCATTAAACAGAATAAT